AATAATAATAAATTCATATCATTATAAATAAAGTAAGAGAATATAAATAAATGGAAAGAATTTATTTTTTTTTTCAATTTTAATTACTGTTTTTTTAATAAAAATTATATCGAAATTTAGAAGAAATTCGAAGAAATTAGATAAGAATCATAAATTATAAACGAATAATATCTAATAAATATTTTCTTACCTACTTAAAAATCCATTAGCAAAAAATAAAAGAATTTATTTATTATAAATTCGATATTAGTATCGAGCATTAGTTTCATATTTTGCATGTTATCGTCAGGAATGAAATGTTCTACGGCAGAAAAATCTTAGATTGCTCGTAGCTACTAGACATTAACTAATTTTATATCTACATATATTACAAGAAGTTTAATAATAAAATACCGGCTTTGAGCTTAAGCGAGAAATTATCGCTCGGTGTATTAAAACCACATAATATAGGCTGGCACGACAGGATTTTAGTCGTTTACGATAAAACAAGCAGGTGATATTTATCTCGGCAGTCAATCTAATGATCTAATTAATTGCCTTGATACCCGAGACACTACCGTGTCTCCCGACTACCGTGAGAATTTCCCGTCGTGCGCATTACTTTCAAGATCAATGCAAACATTTTCTAGAATTAACGTTCTTATTCGACATTTCTTTCCTCGGTAGAGGAAGAGATATTAAGATATTATAATTTTTTATGTGTGAAATATGCGCGGCAAGAATGATTTTGCTGAAATGTTTAAAAATTTTGCTAGATATATATCTCGAAATAATGTAAAAAATTTTGTTGAACTGTTAGAAATATGTCTATTAAGATCTATTACATTTTTTGTTCAGTATGTAATTAAATTTTTAGATACTTCAGCACAATTGTTCTTCCCGTATAACTATAAAATTCCATCCACCCTATAATCGACATTATTCAAGCGGCGTCTACAAGAGATTTAAGATATAAAATTTAAGTTTTAAACCTCAAGCCAGAAGAAATTGACCAATTATAGTCGAATGTCAGGAGAATAATCGTGATTAGATAATTTCTTACGGCTTAAGGTTTAAAGTTTAAGTTTTACGTCTTAAAATCTTGATGTCGCTTTACATAGACGTTTATGTAGACGCTTTATATAGACGCTTTATATAAATTCTGATGATATTGGAACATCACGGGAATCTAATCGCGAGTTCGTACACGCACGTGTGCGTGCAATTTCACGTGTCGCGTTCATACAGCGGAGAACGGTCAAGGCCACGATATATGTCGATGTTCGCTGCGTAGAATCGCGAGAAAGCAGTTCCTCGATATTTTCCGATCACCTCGGTCTCTAGACTTGACCTTCGCTTCATCGTGTTTGCCATTGAAGAAATCACCGGTGCAGCGACGAACGAACACGCACCCTGCGAGAAGTGAAGGGCCGATTATATATAAGCATAGCAAATTTGTTCGCCATTAATTGACGAATAAATCATTCGCCAACTGATAAATAGGATCATTATTTCCGATCGATATTAGTTCTGACGTTAATTGCGATTTATGTCGATAAGATTTCAATGTTAATACTAGCCTTACTCCCGTTTCTGATCTGCGTTACTCAGTCGTGAATGCAACCAATGGTACCGCGAATTCTTAGTAAGAAATTGTCTTCCTGGTTTCTTATCTTTCTCGCACAATCTTACAAAATTGTCCCGCGAACTCATCCGTCGACGAGACCCGGGTCACGCTAAATTACGGTAAATGTGCACGTTTAAATAACGCATGTAGACGCGATTGTCGTTTGTCTCGCTATTGTCGTTTTTAATTACTGTCGTCGCGTCTTTTGGTCTAAGCTACCCACTGTACTCGTGCGATGAAAGCTAAAATTAAAGTTACCAAAGGAAGATTTCTTCCCCAGTGTGAACCACGTGAGAATATGCGTGCGGACGAAAAATAGCAGAGAGCTGACGCTGTCGTGACTATACGCTGGCTTTATTCTACCTTGCCGAGTTACGCGAGCAGAGCAACAACCGATGGCAGAACTAGAATTACGTTCTAGGCAACGATGAACTTGGCCCAAGAAACGGGAATGAAATTACTGCTATTGCGCGCTCCCGCGCTTTTTGTCGGACGACGCACTGCTCGACGGCTGTTTTATAACGTTTCTTACATTACAATAGACCATTCAGCCAACCGGGAACTTTATATCTAACAGTGGCATAATGTATTCAATAAGACATGTAATGCTGATTTTTCAGCGATATATTGTATTATAGTATTTTATATTGTATACATAATATATAAAACGTCTTGTTTTAAAGATTATTTAATTAAATTATTAAATAATATTAAATTTTGCGCATTTTTATTTTTAATTAGTAGTGATTAAGAAACATTTTTATGATATAATTATCATATGTGTGTATATAAAAAGACACATATATTCTATATTTGTTGTATTTTATATTAAGAATGAATACGTATATAATATTATTTAAAAATTGTACAATCTTCATAAAGATAATTATTTTGTTAGTCAATGCCAAAATTTTTATGCATTTTCTGTTTTCTTCTTTTAAATGTTTTCTTTTAAATTATCATTTGTTAGATATAAAGAACTAATATCCTCAGATTAATTTCTAACGAGAAAAAATTCGCATTGAAAACAATCTTTTCACAATTACACTTTTGAAGAAAACGACCATTCTTTATGTTTGACAAAAGTAAGTTTGCGTAATTGACCTATATTTTTCTAAAATCATATTTTATTCATATTATTATAAAAAAATGTGCAATACAATTAAAGTATTTATTTTAAATCTTTATT